CGGCCGAGTTTTCGGCCAAGCACAGACCGTCCGTGTCCGTCCCCGGTCCGTGACGAAGCAAAGGGACTGCAAGGGCGAAGGCCCCGCCAGTCGTGAGACCGAAGCCGAAAGGCTTTTTTTTTGGGGGGGAAGGGAACCTTTGGAGCAGCCCACAGGCATTTCCAGGGAAGACTCTGAAGACTCAAAAGCGAAGGCTAGCTCTTCTCATGTCAAAGGAACGGCAGCCGTTGGCGGATTTCCCACACACCTGGGGTGTGTCCTTGGCCTCTGGTAGTTCCTCAGCTGGATGGAGCGAGAAATCAACACCCAAGGGAACTAGATGTGCTGCTAGAACTGTGAATGTTTTGTCTTCGCCGGTTCCTTCATTCTTCCAGTTACGGGCGGGGTGGAATGACTATTTGATGATTATTAGTCATTAGATGTCATTAGGATTGTGTTTTGACATGTTCATGTCATAACTAGCAGCAGTCTTGCATGCCAGTTACCACGTGTAGCAGCACAACAGCTTTCGCATCGTTGTTCCTCTGCATGCACTATTCTTTAAATTGATCCTACCAGCACCACATTCCCACAGGAACAGTCAAAGGTTCAACGGCTTGAACGCAATGCGTACACGTACCCTGCATGTTGGAACTAGCAAATTGGATCAACTTCAGTAAGTCGTCCAAACAACTTGCACGCTGTCCTTATCTGTACCAAAACCCACAAGAAACAAAGGTACTGATTGGATCGTGATCTCACTTCTGCGGGCTGTCAGATTTCTGAAAGAAACATCCCACGCACACGACCGTCTTTCTCACATGTGTAGCATGCTTCGGCGTCAACAGTTTCTACGTCCCAGTGACCCTCACGACTCCAGCCGCCCTTTCTCGTCACTGTCCCACGCGTGCGGGTGCGACCCGGCCACTGCCTCAGACACGATCTTCACTTCGAAGGGGCTGTCGGGTGTGCCGCACACGTTGGGCATGGAAGTCACCTCAAAACTGTACTTTCCATCCACGGAGAAGTCCTGCGAAGCGATGGAAAGCAGGCGGAAGTCCAGCGAAGCGACGTCGGACGTCGCTTCGTGAAGTCCGAGGTGAACGACGTAGAAAGGTTGGCTGGTCAAACGATGTCAAAAGGTTGGCTGATTCTCAGGGAATGCTGGGGAACCAAAGGTTAAAAGGTCAAAAGAGATGAACAGGTCTGTCTGTGTACAGGCTTGTGGAATGCTGAGTTGAAATGATGTCATCTTCAAGGATATCGTCATGATTTGAATCATTGTGAATCTGTATGTGTGCATGTTTCAGGCCGCTTCACGTGTTTTTGTTTGGCAGGCTTCTTGCACCCTGTCCAGAGTTGTTTCCAGTTATGTGCAAGTACAGGCTGGTAGAGTCCATCCGGCTGCCTGATTGTCTTTTGAGGCCGCACTGAGATGTGCGGCCGGGCGAAGGTACTGTTGTCACAGGAGGTGTCGACACCTCCAAACCCTACTTGGGAATACTTGGGATACAAAACCATCTTGCTGAAGCTGGGATTTGGAGGATCACAGGTATTTTGCGGCAATTGCGGTCCATCGGAGGTCTCTCTCTCTCTCTCACTCTGGCCATGCGGCACAAATCTTACCATGTCCAAATTAGCCTAGCCTGGAAATGCCTGGAAGGTGGGCCTTTCCAGTGCCCAAGTCTTCAACTCACTGCAGAAAGCCGGGTGGCGGATGATTTTTCTCCATCAAATGAACCTTCTTCGACGGCCTCTTAGGACTCCAAGCCCCTTCAAGACCAACATCTGCTGAGAAACCACGGGACGAGACTTCGCTGAGTTCGCTGGGCTCCTTGGCCAGGGCTTCGCAGATTTTGGCCGGGCCACACAGCAGCAAGGACTTGGCACTGCGCTGCCAGATCATCTCTTGAATCAAAACTCCTGCGCAGAATGCCATTGGCTCCGTGGGATGTGTGCTGGGTGATCTGTCAATGACCAGTCGGCTCGTGCACCAGAACATCGCGTGGAACTGTCATCTTACTTCGAAGGGACCGGTGGCGCGAAGAAAGAAACACCAGTGATGACCCTAGACCCTAGGATTCAAACAACCATTGTTTAATGGTCTTTGCCAAAGAACCATTGTTTTACTAAGGATTTTTACACTACACCACCAGCTCAACCGTTCTTTTAATGGTCTTTGAAGGATAGGGTAGACATGTTCTCCGTGTTTGCTCGGGTGCCCACAGGGTCCACAGTGGAGATTTTCCAGGGCAAGCCTTGATTGCTCTGAAGAATGGATGGATGCATGTCATAGGAAACAAAACGATGTTCAATACATGTGCATAAGCCTGTCACTGGCTTGGGGTTATATAGTAGGAGTCCAAGTGCTACACGAATTTACAAGGGTACAAAAACCCCGCAAAGAAAGACTGCAGTTTCTGGTCTAGTCATGTCTATTCTATTCATCATAATCTCCAATCCTTGTGGTTAAAACATGTTTAAACTTCTGCTCCACCTCCAATGCCGTGCAGGTGTGCAACAGTGAACATCAGTCAACTCCAAAAACGCCGTGTAAAAGGCTTCCATGAAAAAACATACAGGAAATCTCTCCATGAACATGCCAGCACCCATGGATACGCATGGGCACCCGCACCCTTATTGGGGTTTGGTCAGCTCCAAGCGTTCCTGCCAAATAGATCGACGCGTCGATATCTTCGTGGCCCTCTGGAAACACCGGCAGCTTGTACCGAGCACATCCATCCTCGGGTGACGAAGGCCGAGAGGCCGGCGCGGGCCGAACTCGGCGTTTGGGGAAACGCGACGTCGCCCGTTTCCAAGACGAAGCACAGGAAGACATTCGGGGCCATGCTGCCATGTTGGGGGGCCATTCTCTACTTCTACTACTACTGCTGCTACGACTACTAAAACAGCTGGGTTAAGAGCCTAAGGTAGAGTCGGATAGACTTATAATATGGTGTAGAGCTGGTGCCAAACCAAAGTGAACACAAGCTTGCACAGGTATCTTGCTCCAGATTCAAGAAGCTGCCTGATTCTACTGAGAAACGCTTGTCTATATGCAGAGTCTTTTGTCCCACATGTTCACGCTCATGTGCGTTTATACACAGCAAATGTGAGACATGTCCTTCCACATGCCAAAGCATTAAAGCATCAAGTACACAAACCTTTCCCAAGACCTCCCTCTCTTGCACAAAAAGGAAGGCACACGTACACACCTATGTCTATGCAAGTTTAAGAACGTGTTGCATTATCTTTGCAAGGCCCTCGCTACTCAGAAATGGCGTTTCCGAAAGAGAATGTCAAACACCGCGCCTCAGCGACCAATTGTAAGACACAAAGCACATCTTTTGATATTATGTCAATTCTGACAAGGTGCCTTCTGTTTAGAGTTTAGAGTCGCCTAATTCAAGAACAAACAGACATTGAAACCTTTTCTCCATCTAAATGCACGCTCTTGAGGTGGAGTACGCCACTTCCTTTTAAATCGGCTACAACACCAGTCCGTAGCTCAAATTCCGAAACGACACCCTACCCTGCTCAACGACCTGACGACCAACAAACATCTGTCTTGATCTGCGACCAGGTTGCAGCCCTGGGCAGGGCCCATTCCAGGTATGTAAAGCTGCCCTTGAGGATTGTGCCCAGAATTCCATCCCACGCACCACTGGCCTGTGCCACAGCCTTCAAGTACCTGGACAGTCACACATAGTTACACATTGGCAGCGCCAATCAATCGATTATCGGATAATCGTTCTCTTCCAAGGGGTCTTGATCAGCTGGCTGGTACATCAGTACATCAGCATACCAACAACACTATGGTCAGAATGACATGCTCCATCAGCACAAGAGAGCATGGTCTGAAATCGGCCAGGGCGCTGGCGCTTGGCCAGGATCACCGGGGAGAAGTTGGGGTCTAAAGGTGCAGGCACCGCCTTGATTGGAACCGCTGGGTGCTGGGACGGAGCGGGGATGTGATCGATCCAAAGCATGCTTCGATCCACTTGGAGAAGGGTAGGAAGTTCCACTTTTCACTCGAACTACTTGGCCTTTGATAAGCCAAAGGCCAATCGAAACCTCACTGGAAGAGATTTGAGTCCAAATGTGTACACACATTGTGGTACGACATGCCAGCAAACAAGGTGGTATCAACTGTGATTTGGCCTGCCCCCTGAGATGGCTCAGGACTACCAGCCATGTGAACCTGCATACGGTCTTGGGGCATCTCTACTGGAGCCGTGGTCAGACTCAAAAGCCGCGGCCCCCTGCCCTTCAGGTTGAGGCTGTTTGAAACTTGACGTTTGATTTGACCCATACACCCACAGACTCCGCAAACCGGACATCCAAGCTGCTGGTCGCACCAGCAAGTGCTTCATCGCTCCCGGTGGCATCGTCATGGCTTCGCTGCAGCTTGGGTGGTGGCGGGGCGATGGACAAAAGGATATGCTGAAACGCTGAAGTCGAGGAGGTGGAGTCCATGCATGTCCACCATACAAGGGATCACCAATTGCAACATATTCATGCCCTAGACTACCTATTGGCTTCCATTAGGCACCCCCTTGCGTGGTTTAAGTCTAGGTACCCATAGTAATCCCCGGTTGTAGCTCCAAGTGCGGATTACGAACCCAAATGATTTTGGGTAGCCTGCCTCTAAGTAGTGTCTGATTTTATTGATGGTAGCCAACGTCGGTAGGTAGGCTTGGTGTAGGTGAAGGTGTGATACCTCAGATCCGAAAAGAAATCACCAACGCTTGTAGGGTTTCTAGGAGCTCTCAATGTCAGCTCCTGAAAAAGAGTGAGAAGATGTGAGAAGACAACACTAAAGGAACACCTCGACAACCTGAAATAAAATCTGGTGGGGCCAACCTCAAAATTGTTTCAATAAAATTGATAGAGTCCAGCCTCTGGTTTCTGAGGCCATCACTCTTTTCTAATTCAGTTCTACTACCAACTGAGGATCATGATGCCGGCTATGAGTCTATTTTATGATCGCCTCTGCCACCACTTGCCGGTTTACCACGCACCTCGGAGATTAAGTAGTATGGGAAGAGCAGGCCGCATGGCCAATATTGCCTCAGTGAGCAATGGACTGGGCATGGGGAGGCTCTCGCTGCCCCTCCCGCTCTCTCTCTCTCTCTCTGTCTCTCACCTTGGACTCGGACTCAGACTGGCATGGTCGGATTCGCCATGGTCGGGCGATTCGTAACATCCAACCGTCATGACGGTGCATATTTCTTGGGTCTATCCTAATGCCTGTAACAGCGGATGATGGTTACAGTATGTTACAGTAGTACAGGCCTTATTCAAAAAAAAAGAGTGATTTGCTTGTTTACGGGTCCTTTTACGGATAAGAACGGAGAAACCCAACATACTTCAACTACCTCACCCCTGTCCTAAGGACTCGTTCCTCGTAACCGGCTTCACACGTCCGAAGCCCACATCACATGGCCTAAAAGCTTGCCTCAGTCGATGGCTTTCGGTTGATTTATGACCGTTCATCTGTTCTTCCCACGGGTTGATCCGTCAAGCCTTAAGCGCCAAGCAACACATGCCTTCGGGGCCATGGTCTCCAAGTATTCACACCAAACCTCTAGCCTACTAGCCTCACTCCCCCAGATTCCACAGGTCAACAACCACGACCTTCGCAGCATCGTCCCGGTCAACTGCGAGCGTCTGGTCCGTGCACACAAGGTAGAGGATGCAGCCCGCGCGGAAGAGGAAGGCGCCCACGCAGGCAGTCACCACGGCCAAGACGCGCGAGACACCTGGCAGGTCGAGCCGAGCTTTCTGCGCAGTGGATGATGGATTACAGTGGTTTCAGAGGCTCGATGGCACGTCTGGGCACCCAAGTTCGGTGGTTTATATGGACCCCCCCATTCAGTAGTAAACATCTTCGGGTGCCAGTGCCATCTACTCTGAAACCACTGTAGAGAAACCTCCAAAACATATTGAAAAAAAACCGTTCAAAACCCACTGGGCGCCAGGGGATCTCCCTCTAAAAATCCACCAGTCACGGGCAGCATTGAGTGAGGGAAGTAGGTCGGTGGGTCTAGCGGGAAATCATGGAATATCCAATGAATTCTTCAAGGCCATTGGAGGTCCACCACCCCGACTCACCTCGAAGGCGTGGATCCATGGACGCGTTCTTGGGAAGAACCCACTCTGGGTCCTCTTGCTGCTCGCCAGACCTCCACAACCTGTTGGTGCCCCAGGGGTTTCCCTATGGTCGGACACGGGCCACCCGCCTTTTACCACGCTCGAGACGCGGCGGCCAGTAATGCTCCGAGCCGCTTCCGAGCACGGACTCCACCTTGGGCACCGTGGTGGCACTCGAGCCGCTGCTGAAGGAGCCGGTCTCGCTCCTGCAACGGTGGAAAGCAAGAAAAGGGAAGCACCTGGTGGGTGCAAGCTGGTGTGAGAGCAGGGTGGTTGGTGATGCGCATACTTGGGATATACAAATCCATAGTAGGAACTTGGCGGGATGAGTGAAACACCCGGCGGTCTGGCACCGCTATAGGACGTCGGACGAAGCATGGAGAAGCCGGAAACCACGGACGAGACACATGAGAAACATGGTCAATCATTGCCCTCCGCAAGGAAACCCGCGTGAGCCTTTTCCCGGTTCAGAACAACTCCCGACAAGCCCCACTTTTCCAAAGACCCAAGACTCCTGCTGCAACGGGCACTCGCCTGCATGCCGCTGTGTTTCGCGGGCGCTGTGGCACTTCTCAACTGAGCAGCGTTCAAAACCCCGTATCACAACCTTAGACCCTAACTGGCCCCAACTGCAGTCAACCAAATTGCGGACAGCTTAATGGAAAACACATGACGTCTGTGACTTATTTGCGTTCGCTTCGACCAGGGGGTGGGGCCGTGTCCTTCGACCCAGCTCCAAAAGAAAGAGATAAAGGACGTACCACGCAGAAGTTCGTCCTCGGACGTCGGACGTCGGACATCGGGCGGGTCCGGGCGGGTCCGGGCTGTACAAGCTAGAGCCAGGCCGGCAGCTGAATTAGGACAACGTTGGCTGCAACTGGGCAGCTTGGAACAGGTGAATTAAGGGCCAGGAAATCGGCCATGAAAACGAAATCAGCTCTGAGCACCTGATTCAGGAGTGCAGGTTGGTTGAGTCTCACACGGCCAACTCATTTCTTCAGCAATATTTTGGGCCAACTCAGGTCCTTAAAATCCACGACCAGGTTCAACTGATCTGAGTTCTTCAACTTGACCGGTGACTCAACCAAACTAACCAAGCTCACGGACAAATATGATACAGCCCTCAGACATGCTTCAGGCACACAACCCTGCCTGGCCTGCAGCGGCGACGCCGGGGGGAAAAACGCGGCCGGCATGGTGTTCGGTTCCCGAAATGAGTTCGGAATAGTTTTCTGTGGTTTCGTGAGGGATTCGATTTTGGCGGGAAGGAACTTGCACGGAAAGAAATCATGCAGGATTGGGAAGAATGGCAAAATGAAATGAACAAGGACACGAGGGGAATATTGCGGATATTGCGGCACAGTTCCATGGGAACGATGGTTTTCGCTACGAAAGCTATATAAAGAAAAATGAATAGAGCAATGAACAAATGATGTGGAATTGTGCCAGAAAATTCACAGGACCACCCTGTTAACGACATGCGCTGTGTTTTGAAATCTTGCTTGGGCCTAATTCACATCCCTCTGTCTCCCGCAGCTCCGCTGCAGCAGTCTCCACTCATCCCGGTGTTTCTCCCAAAACTTGTGCAACCATCTTCAATGCACCGGCAGCACGCAAACAGTTCATTTCATTCTTGCTATTGACATAATAATATCTATATATTCGTCATTAAGCATCATCTGGATTCCAAGGCATCTCAGATCTCCAAAAAAGCGCAAAGTAAAACGCACAACATTGGACTGCTGTAAAAACGGGTCAGCTTGGAAAACCACGATTCAAGAGCCATGCAAACAAATTGAGATTATCAAACAATGCACAATAATTGTCAGGTAGATGGCACTGACAAAAGCCTTTAATTTTTTACTTTTACCTTCGGATGGTCCAGAAAAAATGTGTGAGGCAGGAATGGCCCCTCACTGTTCCAATTCCCCTCGGACCGACAAGGTATGTAGAGTTGACTGAGTTGGGTATGGAAGGGGAAGAGGATCCACTACACCACACCGAACAACCCGATCCTTTAAGGAACATGATGGAGAGTGTTGGAAAACTGTCATGATGTTCAGTTCTTGCGGATAGATCCACCCAAAGCCGGTATGTCATCAGAACTGCAGCAGGCTGGGAATCCAGGCTTGGAGCCTTGCTCAATCCTCTAAACCAGCCAGGCTCCTGTCGCGCTTGAATGATCACATCACATCCAGATGTGGGCATTTATATGGCTCTACGTGGCTCTATAACACCCCAGAAAACATCAGAAAACATCCAAACCTAAGGGTCAAAGGAAAGGTACGTAGACTCAAGGCGGTGCCGCTGGTTCGTTCCCATGACGTGGAATCCATGGGATCGATGCCATCAACGGAAGTGGTTTCAGAACTCAAGGGGATGAATGAATACTAGCGCGAATACTAGCGCTACCAAATGCCACAAGAGCATGCTTGCGATGCTTGGAAGATCCTGGAACTCAAAGCAACGGGTTCTATTAGCTAAGTAGTTATTACTTCACGCCACCAACTCACCAAATCCAGCACTAGCTCCATCTAAGAGCCTATCGGCACCATCCGCCGCTTCCACCGGGACCACGTGCCTGGAGACCTTCTGCTCGAGGTTGTATTGGTCCATTGCTTCACCTTGGGGCTTCCCCGGAGGGCGTCCTTCCTCTACCAAGGCGCCAATAGATAAAGCCTGTACATGCTGTCCTCCACCTCTTAACTAAAGCTCGGGTACTTCTCCATTCGGGCGACCCGTCCTCTACCAAAGGGAGGGTCAAGGGGTTCCACCCACTTCCAATGAGCCGGGGTCTCATGAGGTGAAAATCTTTGGGAGCAAACTCCAGTGGCCATCTGATGCGCGTGCTGTCAAGCACCTCTACCATCCTCTACCATCCTCTACCCAACGTCAGGCTCATCCCCATCTCCAGTTCTGCTTCCCAAGAACGGCCCACCGCCATTATCATCGAGCTGTCATCTCTCTTACAGGAACCACTGTGGACCTGACCCATCTGAGTCTTCCTGAACGAAATTTCTCAACGATTTTGGGGCCGCCCTCTGTTTCTTTCCGGTGATCAGAAAAGGATGGAAAAGGAGTTCTGGAGCCATGTTACCGTGATGAGGATCTCCAAGTGATCTCCAACTTACGAAAATCCTTGTCCCCAAAGTGGAACTCTCTCTCCTGGAACACTCTTCAGATACTTTCAGTCAACAAGTTCCAGTAGGAAATCAAAAAGTCACCTCAGCAGACCAAGTCGCTCAGCTCCTCGTTCTTCCGCCGCAGGCTTTGGAGCTCTGTGGCCTGCATGTCCACCTCACAAGCGATCTTTGGTATTCCAACTGTGCCACGCCCAGCTGAGCTGCCCTGCTGAAATAATAGAAGTGGGAAGTCCCAAAACCAGCACACATGGTTTTTCCATGTTTTTCACCTAATTACATCGTGGTTTCCAGAGCCTTCGAGGTGATGCGATTTCACCCTGGACCTGCCGCGTTCGACCGGGTTTCCCAGCTACCAGCACCTGAAAGCAGGACTCCCACGCTTATACCAGGGTGTTTTGCGAGCTCTTCGACTGACCTCATCAGTTTCCACCCTGCAGCCACACATCATATAGATTCATATAGAACAGTATAGAACAGTTAACATCGAACGCAAGTAAGCAATCCCGACACTCCATGTATGCCATATATGCCTACATTGACCCCTCAAGCCACCCCAATTGTATATAGGCATATATGGCAGTTCCATGGAGTGTCTGGGACTTAACATCGCTGGCCTCTCGGTAGTGCTATGGAGCCAGGATGGGAGCCAACCGGACTCTCAAACGCATTGCATTCTTCGGCTAGTCACCGTGGCTTTCACAAACACGCCGCACGCGTCTTGCGGTTTCGCACGAGTGGCTGCGAGTGGTGGCATGGTACCGTCTGTTAGGCACTGAAAGGTGTTCCATTATAGTGGACCCCATGGCATCATACCTTGCACAGAAGTTGTTTTTTTTAATAGGGGGGGCAGTCGCCATCTTCACCCCATGGGTCTTCAGTCCGGAAGAGATGTCCCCAAGTGCCCGCGCTCGGCGCATGAGCACCGTGATACGGCTTTCGCTGGACTCCTGGAAGGCCCAAGAGGATGTCTTTCGTCATTTGTCCCAAAATCTCCCAGGTCCCCAGCTCCAAGGCCAAAGTGTGCAACTGTCGTCTGAAAACGAAGGTTTCAGCTGAGTTTGGAGCAGGAATCCGGAGTGGATTAGTGGATTAGTGGAGCTCACCCTCTGGTCTGGAAATGTCTGGAATACGTCTTTCCGAACTGGATATGTCTGGGGTGGCCATGTTCGATCCATTGGAGGGAATCATGTGGAGGACTCGGACTCACCTGAGACAGGAGAGACCTGGAAAAAGGCGGTCAGAGACTTGGCGGTCAGTATACTTCATGGTGGTGGCTGTCATAGAAGATCATAGGAACAGTCACCATGACAGTCACCATAGAACAGAATACTTAGTGACAGTCATCATAAGATCATGGTGACTTCACTCCTCCAAAATGTTTAAAAGTTCCCTTGAGCGTTAAGCAACAGGACCAATCCGTGGAGCTGAATGGTGCTTCGACGACTTCAGCTGTTCAACAAGCATGCTGCTGCACCAGCATAGAGTCCATATATATGAGTCCATACTAAACTTACTAAACCATATACTGAGGTCTTCAGTCCACATATAGAGTCCATCTGACTGGCCTGATTGGTGGTCAAAACGCCTGTTTTCAACACCTCAGGATCCAGCCCAAACCCCGCGCGCACCTCGATGGGGCTCCAGCGAAACTCGTCGCTGGAGTCGGACGGCACGGGGAGCCTGTTTCGGCATTGAACATGTGCGAAGTCCTATATATGGCATTGTAAAGGGTGTATACGGGTGAAAGATGTGAAAGGTGAGTGAGTAGCTTTTTGGGATCTTTTTGGGGCAAGTCACGAGTTGAGGAAGTTCGGGCAATGTCAATCCGTCCCAAGGTGCCGTTTTCATCCGCACTCCCCAGTGGTCCCAGTGAAAGCAAGCTGCACGATATATCCCCTGCGCTCGCTGTCTACCCAGCTAGCTTTGGTCTGAAAAATTGGGATCAAACCTGGCAACCCCCAAGCTGGGGTGCAAAGAAATTCCCTATGAACAATATACATATGTGAAAAGGTGACTCACCGGAAATAGCTGCACTTTGCCACTTTGCACGTGTCACCTGCTTAAATTCGCTGTCACCCGTTGCCTGACACCTGCTGGGGGGGGACCCAACTTACCCGACCTTTCCACTGCACCCGCCTCCTTAAGCCCGTTCCACCCAGGCACGCGTCGGACATGCGGGGCCCGCGGGTCGGCCCGCGCTCGGCGAAGGGCCCGCGGGGCTCGCGGCGCTGGGACCTGCGACACTGGGCGGGCTCGCGTCGCGTTCCGGTCAGAGGGCCGACGGTGAGGTTCCGGTGGCTCCCCTCGGTTCAACCGTCTGAACAGCGTCGCATCTGTTCCCATAAATGCCACTCACTTGCAGTCGGTTCAAAGGTCCGGACGGGGTCGAATCACCAAACAAACGCAAACAACATCAAATCAACTGACGAACAT